GGTGGTTAAATCAGTATAGTTAGCTTATTAATCATTACAATATGGAGTCCGTTGACCAATTCCTTATTGGCCCCCTTCCTCTCCCCCACCCTTCCCCTTTTCCACCTCTAGTTTTCTAAAAGTTTAATGTATTACTGTGATTGTTGTTTCTCTCTTTCTTTCTGTCTCTATTGTTGATTTGTTTATTTATAGATTCAGCTCCCAGTTATGAGTGAGAACCTGCAGTATTTCTCTTTATGTACTTGGAAACTATTTTGCCTCCTGCCTTTCTTTCTTTCTTTTTTTTTTTTTTTTTGTCTTTTTTTGTCTTTTTTCCGTGTCCGGCAACGGATCGCAACCCTCAGTGTTGCCCCCGTACCGGACCGGGGACCGGCAACGGGATCGCAAGCCTCGGTGTTGCTTCCCGCGCCTCGCTCAGCCAGTGAGCGGGAGCCGGTCTGTATGTGGGATCCGAACCCTCGAACGGGAGCGCCGCCGCGCTTCCCAAGCGGCGCACTACCCAGTGCGCCACCGGGCCGGCCCTAGGTGTTTTTTTTTAACCCCTACCTTCTCTGGACATTTAACTAGAACCAATCAGTTCTGTACAGAGGAGACACATCTTCAGTAGCAGTTAGCCGTTCAAGTGAGCACTGAGGTGGGACAGTCAGGATCACGTCTGCAGACCCCTCAGGAAGGTGGCTAGGTGTAGACCACTGTTAACCTCTCCTGTCAGCTGAACACAGCCAGTTGTCCTCCTGGTGGGGACCCAGTATTTTTTCTTCAGTTGAGCGAGTGCAGATGAAGTATTGTGTTTAGAGGCCCTGGCATACAAACATTTCTGCAATCGCTGTCATACAGAGGCAGGGGACGCTGAGGCCCATGTCACCCTCACTCTGGGACGTGTGTGGAATAGCAGGTGGACCACTTGTATTATTATTTTTTATGATAGTGGTAATAATGTACATAACTAACAGTACATACAACATAAAATGTACCATTTTAACCATTTTATATTTTGTTTATTTTTGGCAGCTGGCCGGTGTGGGATTTTAACCTTTTTGAAGTCTACAATTCAGTGGCAGTTACCACATGCACTATGTTGTGAAACCAACTCCACTATCTATAGAGTGCTAGAACCTTTTTATCACCCCAAACAGAACCCCATACCCAATAAGCAATATTCATTTGTCCTGACAACCATCAATCTGCTTTCTCTCTCTGTCTGCCCGTGTTTTTTTTTGTTGTTGTTCTTTTTTGTTTTTTTTTTTAAAGATGACCAGTACGGGGATCTTAACCCTTGACTTGGTGTTGTCAGCACCACGCTCTCCCAAGTGAGCAAACCAGCCATCCCTATATAGGAATCCAAACCCATGGCCTTGGTGTTATCAGCACCACACTCTCCCAAGTGAGCCACGGGCCAGCCCCACCACCTGTGTTTTTAAATTTTTATTTTATTTGGAGGTTTTTTAAAAAAATTAAACACAACTTTTTAAAAAAAATAGGTCATATAGGGGCCGGCCTGTGGCTCACTCGGGAGAGTGCGGTGCTGATAACACCAAGGCCACGGGTTCGGATCCCATATAGGGCTGGCCGGTTAGCTCACTGGCTGAGCGTGGTGCTGACAACACCAAGTCAAGGGTTGAGATCCCCTTACCGGTCATCTTTAAAATAAATAAATAAAATTGTTGGGTCAAAGTACATATATGCTTGTCATTGGTCAGTCTTGCCACATTCACTTCTAGTGAAGTTGTATCAATTTCCACACCCACCGACAGAACCTGTTTCCCCGTACCTTACACAACACTTGTCAAACTTTTTGACCTTTTCTAATCTCCTAAGTAGTTTTTTTTTTTTTTTAAGATGACTGGTAAGGGGATCTTAACCCTTGAGTTGGTGTTATCGGCACCGCGCTCTCCCAAGTAAGTCACAGGATGGCCCAAATGTCCTAAATAGTTTTAAAGGTGTCTCAGAGTAATTTTTTTTTTTTTTTTTTGTCTTTTTGTCTTTTTCCGTGTCCAGCAACGGATCGCAACCCTCAGTGTTGCCCCTGCACCGGACCGGGGACCGGCAACGGGACCGCAACCCTCGGTGCTGCCCCCGCGCCTCGCTCAGCCAGTGAGCGGGAACCGGTCCGTATGTGGGATCCGAACCCTCGGGCGGGAGCGCCGCCGCACTTCCCAAGCGGCGCACTATCCAGTGCGCCACCGGGCCGGCCCGAGTCTCAGAGTAATTTTAATTTGCATTTCCTCCCAGTTATGAATGAAGTTGACCATTTTCTCACAAGCTTAAGAGCCATTTGTATTTCCTTTTCTGTGACCTATCCATTTGCTAGGCTGACTTTTCTATCAGGTTGGGTTTTTAAAAATTGATTTGTAAGGGGCGGCCTGTGGCTCACTTGGGAGAGCGTGGTGCTGAAAACACCAAGTCAATGGTTAAGATCCCCTTGCCGGTCATATTTTTAAAAAATAATAAAATAAAAATTGATTTGTAGGAGCACTTCATATATTGGATAAACCATTTGTGATATGAGTTGGAAAATTTTTGCCAGTGTATTTTATGTTCATGCAATCAAATATATCTTTTTTTGTTTGTTTGTTTTTTTGTTTTCTGTGATTTGTAATGTTTAACAAGATTAGAAAGACCATCCCCAATCCAATATTGAAGAAGGCACGGATGAAGGAGGCACGCGAGACCCGGGCTGACAGTTCACCAGAGAAGTTCCGCTTTATTCAAGGACTGCGTGTATATTTATAGGGAGCTGCATTCCGGGTTTGGATAGGGGGTGGACGGGGTGGTAGCTGATTGGACAGGGCTGGGCGGGAGGTGAGCCTTGACCTGTGACTGGTTGAGGTTTGGTGCCGGCAGGCTTGTTTACTGCGGAGAAGAACCCGGAAGGGCGCTATATTGCCAGGGAGCGTCCCCCGCCTGGGTGCCTATGGTATCCTTACATTCCTCCCTTTTTCCTCTGTTGTGGGGAATGGGTCGTCATAATCTTCGAACTACTTCCTGCTGGACGGGGGTGTAGTGGGGGGAGAGGAATTGGGAGGAGATAGGAGACCCTTTATTAGGCCCCAAAGGAGAGTAGAAAATAAAGAGAGGGGAAGAATTCTATAAACGTTCCCTGGAGCCACAGGTCAGTTATTTGCTGAGTCCAGTGTGTGTAGGAGGCTGTAGGGGAGAGCATCCAGGCGTCCGCAGCTAAAACCTCCAGGAACAGGGACCATTGGTGATGTAGATCCATTTTAACAGTGTGTTAGCTGATCCGTTGAAGAGCAGGTAGGGTCCTCTGTGGCCAGTAGTTGGTAATTCCTGAGTAAAAGCTGGTTAAAAGTCTGATTAGAGATTTTACCAACTTGAGTTTGGATAAATTTTAAAGCCCCAGTAACTACCGCGGCCCATCTGGAGTCCCGGGAGTCCTTCATGTAAAGTTGGTAAGAGTTTCCCGTGTTGTGCTGAAATATTTGGCCTCCTGCACCTATTAGCGGGTCGTGGATTTTGCACGACCAGTACGGGCATCCCCCATAAGTGTCTGGCCACCACCTGCGGGACGTTTGAGTCTGGTCAAA